CAGACACAGAATCAAGGCCCCTTCCAGTCGGGCCACTCCCAGCAGCTGCGAAGGGTGGTGCGAGAGTCAGAGGCAGAGCATGGGGGGGAGTGGGATGTGCTTTCCCGGCTGCGCCCAAGCCTTTGCAGGCACATTTCAAGATCGAGGTGCTGAACTCCGTACATTTCGCCTCACTGGTGGAGTTCGGGTGCCAAGTGCCAATGGGAAAGATGATCCCCAATGAGCAGCGAAAGCATCTCGCTGCAACACTGTGGGTCCATTCGATGATGTTCGATGAATCCTGAGGCCTCCAGCTACTCAAGAGCTAAGCCGGCACCTCGGCGGGTGAGGCGGTGCAGGAGCACTCTTATGAAACAATATGAAACATTATTGTCATCGTCCTGCGCAGCTACAGGTGATGATGTGCCAGCCTCAGAGTGGGGAGAGAGCAGCTGAGGCTCGGAACGCCCTAGAGAGGGGAAGTTGGGGTTTCCAGGCGCTCTTCTGACAGAAGAGAAGGGGCACTGCGCTTTGTTTCTTATGTTTCTTTGTTCCGTCGGCTTGGGCAGAGGCTCCTGCTCCTCTCGGCGTCCTCCCTGCAGCGGCCCCAGATCGGCATGCCTGAGGCTGCAGCTGAACAGCGTCAACATGCGTCAACCTGTCAGCACAGATCAGAATCCAAACGATCACTGTGTTTCGTAAGACGCTGACATGACAGGAACCCTGATACTGCTACTGAGAAATGTTGATGTCACCAGAGGCTGACGCTTTAGCATTGAGTTGAACAAGTGCAGTGCAACGACCAAACCTCTTGCCGAGTGGCCTTAGTTGAGAACCATTGCCACACATCAGCCCATGCAAGCGCATAAGCATTGCAGATGGTTGCACTGCACAGGCATCACTACAATCTCAAATCCCAGAACCAGTCATTCCAATCAGATTCTTAGCTAGGCTCGATCAAACAGTAGTATATTTCCTCAGCTCTCAAACGTAATATCATAATATAGACTCAAAAGCGAAAGTAGACGTTGTGATGTTATCTTGGGCAACACTGGAGTAAGTCGCGGTTTATCATGATCGATTCCTCCTGGCTCGGGCTATGTCGGCCGTGACAAGAATCGCTGCCTGCACTCCTGATGTTAGGTCGTCGGTCTGCCGGGCGTGCGACTGCCTCGGACTTCTTTGAAGCTGTCAAGCTTCTGCCCTGTCAAGTGAAGCTCTTACAAGCCTGCATATCTTGTTACCACGAGAGAATTTTCCGCAGAAGAAGTCACTTGGTCCACAACCGTCTGTCTTATCTACATACTGTATGGGCGGCCAAGGCCTTTTGCCTTCGCTTTGCGCCAAAAGCCTTGGAGCGTGGAGAGGAACTGGGCATATCCTCGGAGCTTCAGGCACCGGCATGCGTAAAATCTGCAAATACCCATCTCACATATTCCGTTTCGCCTAGTCTTGAGCAGCCTTCTTCCGGCGAACACAGTCCGCCAGAAGAGACTAACGTTTGACATTGACTTGCTACCAGGCAAGTGGCGGCGGTCCTGATGCAAAACCAAGCCAGCGAATTTCTCAGAGCGACCGGCGACCGTTGAGTTATGTCGAGTTTCTTGCGCAGAGATCGCAGAGAGTCCGAGGCCATGGGCTGGTCCCGTTGGAGTTGTGGGTGGAGCATATTCTTCCGTGGTGTTCTGCCTCAGTCTCCCACGGCTAGGACCAGTCCATGCAGGGCAGCCTGGTGTTCCCCTGCCTCCTGGGTCCTTAAGGTGCCCGCGATGGTGGTGCAGGACTTGGAATTTGGTCCTGAAGCCTTCTGAGATCTTCCGAGTTTCCTGGTGGCTTAGGTTCGATGTGCCAGGGAAGAGGCGATCCAAGTCTGGCACCCTGCCACCATCTCAGACTCAGCGAGTTCGAGTCCCGAACATGCGCAGCATGGCCCTTCAGGGCAATGCTGGCGGCAGCAAGCAGAAGCATGTCGAAGGCCTTGGGGATGAGTTTTCTGGGCACCGGAGGTGTATGTGCTTAGGGCTGAGTCAAGGACCGCTTCCTCCAATTCTTAATAGTCTTAATGGCCACACAGTAATTTCGCCCAGTCCCCAAATCCCCGGATGCCCATTGGCGGGGCATCCACGCATCTCAAATCCGAAAAGCAGCGCCAGTGCCGGGCATTTGCCACCTTGCGATGTCAAGCTTCCCAAGGCTTGGGTCTCAGCACCTTGAGAGTTCAGGGTCCAAGAGCCTCGGATTGGAGCAAAGATGTTACTCCGACTCTCTGCAACTTCAAGCCTTTCCCTGAATCTCAACTGAGTCTGACGTGCCACTCTGCTCACGTGACTTATGTGCAACAAAGCTTGGTGGCGATAGCTCACACTTCCATCTCGAAGCTGGCTTCGAAGAGTTGTCGGATCTTTCTGCAGCGACTTGGCAAAGTGCACTTCTGAGCTATATCGAACCCAGAGCCGTACTGTTCGTGTGTGCAGGACGGCGGCTAGTTTAGGGGAGTGGACCGGTCCCATGTCGAGTAGTCTGCAAAAGCAAGGGCTGAGTCTGGATCCCAGCCTAAAGTTCTTGACGCTCGCATTCGGCAGACAAGTTCTCAGACATCTCAGACGAGCCAGCATGCTCCTACTGATGCAGGTTCCTGCGTTCCCGCGGATCCCCGAAGCAAAACGAAAGAATCACCCCGACCAGTAAAGACACAAAATGACGGTGCTTCTTGCTGTTGGGGAGATGTGCTCTTTTTGCAATCCTGGTAGAGAAGCACCCACAGCCCAAAACTACCAAGTTTCTCAAGAGGTCCCGCAGATGCTTTCTTGAACAGCGGTTTCCATGTCAACCATTTGATCATTTGACAAGTAGTGGAAACTGTGTGTGTGTGTGTCATCACAGGGCTGCAGGCGGGCACCGCAGAGAGGAGCAGTGTGAGGAAACGACAGGGCTTGAACTTGCGAAGCCCTGCAGCGTCTTAGATTGCGGATGTACCTTACTTGCATACAGCTTTACCCGATGAGCGCAGGCGTTTTTCAGCTCGAGCACCTGCAGCACGCGAAGTGGCAGCAGCATTGGTGAGGTTGGCCGGTCGGGGACGGCCACAGTGTGGTCAAAGGCGATTGCCTTGCAGGCAGAAGGAACTTTCAGTGGAGACGAAGCTGAAGCCCCAGGATGCAGGTGCTCGCAAAACCGTGACAGCACGGCCTCGTTTCCCGTATGTGAGATGCGGGAGGTTCCTCTTCCCTCGCACTCAAAGCTGCATCTGTTTGAAGCATTTCAATGGCAGAAAGGATCCTACCATACATAGATTCTGTTCCGTCAAGGTGAACATTGCGACAAACGACGAGGTTCCACTGGCACCAACCTTAGATTGTCCGAGATGGTGTGGGTCCCGTACAGTAGCACGGACGTCCAGGCAGACCTGTGCACTACACTGAATCGCCTGAGCCCAGATGCCGTGCAAGGTGCAACCTCCACGGCGCCGGAGGAGTTTGTCCAGAGCCTGATTTAGCACTTTGAGAGTTTGCAGTCGGCACAAACTTCCGTAGTTCGTATTTTGAGTTTTTCCCAGATGCCGTGCAGCCCAGCGAGCAATGTCCACACCTCAGAAATCTTCACCTGCTCGTTTGGACGGACCTTAATTTAGCCGCTAGTGTGAGACCAGCCTTGGGGACGGTCGCGGGGCGGGGCAGAGGGGGGGGATGTGTTCGGAGACCGTATCTGTGGCACATACCCAAACTCCTGGGCGACTCGCCGCTCGAAGGGATCCCCTACCAGACCCCTCAGACATGAACCAAAAAACTCGAAAAGGGCGGCCTGGGAGGGGAGGGGAAATACCATTCATGGTCTCAGGGAAACAGATCAAGACGCTTCAGGCCTCCGACCAGTATGGTAACCACGGCAGAGATGGGGTAGTCCAGCCTGCGCCCAAATCTCCCCCTTGCTGAAGCTTGTTTTTGTTCAACGTTTTTCTTGGCGTGGAAAGCTACGCGTAGCAGCGGGAAGATGAGGGAAGATAATTTAGGCTGGTCCGAGCGGGCTTAAGGTGCTTTGAGCACATATGGCGCACACGCAAAGCTCGGACAACAGGCGACGATGCCTCCGCTGCTTGAGTCGCCTGGGGGACTCTGCGTCAAATCAGTCTGAACTCGCTACGCCCTTGCCAGAACCTGAGCTGAAGAATGCCGAGAAGCGCGGAGATTTGTGATAGCAGCTAGCAGACCTATTGTACAAGTAAGACGTCAGTACTGATCAGAAGGACGGTGGAGACCCAATATGTCTCTTGCGAAACTGAGGAGCCACGCTCAGCCTGTTTTGCCTTGGCCGGGCCCCCTCGTATCCAATGGTTGCAAAGCTAAGCTGGCACATCGAATGCCCTGCCCCTGCGCGGTCCCATCACGAGCCGGTCTTGGCTCTGCCTCCCGCTTCCGCCGTCTGCGCCCTTCGTGAGGTAGTTGTTCTCGAAGCGACGTTTAGCTCGGTAGGCTTTACATGCCGCGTTTAATGCGTCGATTTCGCCTGGCAGCCTCTCCCTGAACACCGCTGCGTCAGCTCTCAAGCGAAGCGATGAGTAGCCGGCAGCAGATCGTGAAAAAGCACAGCATGACTCTATAAGGGTGAAAAACTCAAGCCATGCCGGATGCGAGCGCCCTCAGCGAGTCCTTCGAAGCGATCACAGTGTGCCACTTGGATGGCGACTGAAGTCCTTCGCCAAGGACAAGCAGGCAAGCACAGTGAACTTCAAAGCCATGCTTCATCCTTTGTCCCGTCGCAGTGACAGGAGCCGAAGTGTGCTTGAATGGTGTGGCCACTGCGAGATCTATGGCGTGATTGGAGCAGGCACGGCCTCTTTGGAGTAGGCCATCTCGATCTATATCGGTCAGCGCATCGGGCTATATCGGACGTAAAGGTGTTCAGGCAGAGGACAAAAAATGTGCAAAAGTATGAAAGAAGCAGGCACTTTCGCTGTGCAAAGCCTGCTCACTCAATTGACATTGATTTTTCGAGCAAACTTAGCGCCAAACTTCACCTCCTCCATGGAGCCATGTCGCACGCCTGGCCCGCCTGGCCTGCGGCTCGTTCTCGTGACCTATGAATTTACCTACAGCCCCTTCAGTGGCAATGGCATCCTCGCGCGGTCCATAGCCAAGGCGCTGTTAAGACTGGGCTGTCAAGTCACCGTGCTGTGCTGCCAGCCTTGCGATGAACTTCAGGGTCAGAATAGCCATTTGACGACAGAGGAGCTCTCTGAGGTTCACAGCCTCACTGTCATTCCACTGAAGCTTGCAAAGTCCGACGGCTGGTTTAAGCTGGATGACCACTCAGCTTGGAGTCAATTCGTCTTCGACCAGATAGACGAAGAGGGGCAGTGCGCTCTGGAAAGAAGTTTAAATGCCGCCGATGCGGTCGTGGCCGTCGACTGGACCGGAGCTCATGCATGTCAGTCGCTCCCAAGCACCAGTGGCAAGCCTCTAGTCTACATGAACTTTCGTGTGTACAGTTCTGGAGTGCTGGACGAGCGGCGAAGGCAATGGTTTGACGAGATGGAAAGACAGGCTCTGCAAAGGGCCTCTCTCATCGTGGTTCTTTCTCAACTTGACAGAATGAACCTCATGAAGATCTCTGATTCTGCAGCAGGTAAGTTCGAGCTTCTTCTGCCACCATTGAGAGGTGACATGCATGAGCTTGCCCACCAAGCACAGGAGGAGCTCGACTTGTTTCTGCCTGCTGAAGTCAAAGACGCTTGGCGTCCCGAGGGTTCAAAGAGGCAACGATTTCTCGTCACCTGTGTTGCGCGCATCTCGCCTGAGAAGAACGTTTTCCGGTTCTTGCGCTTCTTGCAGATGGCGAAGGACACCCTACATGAGCTCGGTCTTATCCCACTGTTGGCTGGCTCCAGCTCTGACGAATCTTATGCTGCAGCAGTCAAGGCCGAATTAAAACGCCTGGTGCCAGGTGCAATTATAGTTGACACCTTTCTCACTCCGAAGTCTTTGGCAGCTGTTTTTGGTCGAACGGCTCTGAACTTCCATCCATGTGCCTATGACGCATACGGCATGACAATTGTTGAAGCGGCAGCCTGTGCTGCACCGTCTGTGTTGGCCGGTGAATCCGTGGGCGCCTGGGCACTTCTGGGCTCGCATTCACTTTGTGTAGACATGCCACCGGACGAGAACGAATTGTCGGACGAGGCTGCGGCAGCAATAACAAATTTCCTGAGAGATCCAGAGCATGAACTGCTGGGTGCTTCAGCCCGAAGGGAGGCCTTGCGATGGGATGAGCAAGCATACGGCACCCGGCTGCTGGAATTCATTTCATCCCTTTCACAGTCTGACCACTGACGAATCCTTCAGGCCATAGTTCGGTTGCCGCCCTGCGGGACAACCATGTATTGCCTCAAGCGACGGGAAGGATTTTTGCAGTCAAAGCTATGTGCTGGCTTTTTGCGAAGTCAAGTGCATGCAGCAGATGTCCACTGCCCGCCCTTGAACTGACTGGCATCGTTGGACGACACAGAACCGACCTTGCGAATTTCGTTTGCCGCATAAGATGATAAGAGATGACAGGTTCGTGTTCTCAATCCAACTGCAGTCTTGAATCCATCAGAGCTTGAGCCCGGTGCGGCCTTGAGTCAGGTTCGCAGTGATTGCATGCGGCGTGGTGAGCCTGAACGAGAAGGGCCAGGCTGGAAGAGCTGGAGAGTGGGAGAGCCTCAAGCGAAACCATACCGTGTTGAAGTCCTAAAAGAAAGGCAACAGAGAGAGAGAGAGAGAGCGAGAGAGAGAGAGAGAGAGAGAGAGAGAGAAAGAGAGAGGGTGCTGCACCTTTGCTCGGGGGTCTGTGACACCCCCTTGCATCGGGGAGGGAGGTGAGAGGTTGACTTGGGGTGTGCCCCCAGAGGAGCCTTCTCACTTGCCTCCAGCGGTGCTTGAGTCATTCGCCTGCTGCATCTATCATCAAGTGGCCCTTCTTCGTAGTGCCCCGAGCGCAGCCATTGAGCTGTACGGCAAGTTTGCAGTACTACGCGACTTCTTCCTAGAGGGGCCGTCCTCCACGAGTTCGGTGACGTCACTCCCGGACGGTGACCGCAGCTGGGGCCTGGACCGCGTGCACTTCGACACCTCTTTTGTGATCCTCCAGGGTGCGATCCCCTTGCTGCTCATCGGGTCGTAAACTTTGAGCAGGGTGTGCAACCTGATTTCCCCTCGACACCGAGAACAAACTCTTCACCTACGCGGGAAGGGGGTGTGAACCCCCCCTGACAAGTCTGGAGCTGAGACTTTTTCCTTCAGTGCTTCGTTGCAAGAAAAAGGGGGGGCGCACCGGAAGCAGCAACGTTCAGAGGGAGTCTGGACCAAAGACCAACACCGGCGACCATGGCGGCGGGCATGATATCGGGGGACTACGTCAACTGAGCAGCCAGGTGAGTGAGGCCTCTCCTTTTGAACCGGGGGAAACCCCATCGCACTTTGGACGCTGCGAGGAAACACTTTTGTCTTTCAGGACTGGAGCACTGGCAGGCATGCATGTTTTTCTCAGAACCGTAGTGCAATGAAAATTCTGCCTATGACGCTGTCTTTCTTAGTCGGGCGAAACCCAAATTGCCTTTGTGGCTGTACCATATAGACGGGCCGCCGGAGCCATGCAAACACCTAACTTCCAACGCCTCCGCTCTGAGGCACCTTTTCCACAAACACGAACCGTGCCGTGCTTTAACTTTAATTCAACCAGTACTCACCATAGATTTCCCGGCCTTCACAACAGCACAGCTGGCCGGATGGGAAGCCGTGGCCATACTGTGATGACTACGACTCTTGTGCTTGTTTGGTGTCTTGTTGCTACTTTTATTTCTTACTGTTCGGAATGTGTTTCGTTACTCTTACTATGTTCCCACGGCTCTTGGAAAGGTCACCATATCCGAAGGCATCCAAGGTACAGCATCGCCAGCCTTGACGTCATTGTTTTGCTTACTTCGGGGCTTGTTTCCCCTGGTTGTGGATGACTCTCTTCACAAGTGGCGATACTGGCCTTTATGGCGCGTACGTGCTTCACTCTCCTCCTCCGCAACAGTCGGGGGCGCCGCAGTGCGCTTTGCGGGTAGGGGAACTTCCCCTGCCCACAACCCTGCCGAAAGAAAGAAAGAGGGTGGTGGGGCGGGCCAAAGGCCTGAGGGTCGGCAACGCTGACCCCTACGCCCTGCAGAAAGAAAAAAGAATATGGGGGGCCTCATTGGCCGGGGCCTAGCAAAGCAAAGCAAAGAGACAAGTTGTCATCTTGGCTCAAGAACTGCAACCGTTGCTTTGGGGGCTTATGACGCCCCCTGGCATCGGGGGTGGAGGTGTGGGGTTGACCCTGGGTTTGTGTAGGGGGAGCCTTCACACTTCTGCCCAGCGGTGCTTGAGTCTTACATTCCGCTGCCCATCTCCCTCTTGACGGATCTGCTGAAAAACCTGCTCTACCACCACAAGGTTATCCGCTTCATCAATGGCGAGCTCCCAACACATCCCCGACGATAGGGGGGAACAACAGTCCAGCCTGCAAAAAAGAGCAAAGGTGTGTGTCGACTTTGCAGAGAGGCAGGGGAGAGCTGCACATCCGGCTAGCGCAAAAGTCACGACCGTAGTGACCCCCAGTGCAGCCTTTATGGTGAGACAGGTGGGGGAAGAGGCGCACTCCACGCCAAGCAGAAGAAGAACAACTACAACCACCACACACAGAAGGGACCCTTCTTTCCGGGAGGAGACGGCTCAGCAAGCGAGTCAAGGCCAAAGGGAGGACCACCCGCCGGTGGGATGGACCTACGATGCGAGCTAAACCAAGAGAGCTCCTCCAAGTGAAGGCCGTATGGGGGACGAGACCTCTTCGATGAAGGCACTATGATGAAGCCTTGGAAAGATACCACGCGGACGCAGAGGAGGAACAGCTTCAAAGGGAACATGGAGACAGAGTACGGAACAAACAGCTGTATGCGAAAGCGGTCATGGTTCTGTTCTCCGCTTTCTTCGTACTTCCGGGGGACAACCCTCCAAGTTTCTGGACAAGATCGCAAAGGGTACGAAATTGACCGAAAAGGTCCATGATGCCTGCTGGAAGAAATGGGGGAACAACCCCCTTTGTGGTGGGGGGTCGGCGGAATACTCCGAAGAGATCCTTGACCTCTCGACCCCAGAGTGGGTTAACACCGAAGACGGAGAACGTGTACCCACAACCCTTCCAGCTCCACCCTCTTCCATGGGGGAAGATGAAAGAGAAGCTGAAGACAGCACACAATTATGGGGGACAAATCCCAGTCACCCCCGAATGGCCTTGGCGAGATGAACGACCTCCACTTCCACGTCGCCGAGGGCTACCACAACTTGTCACCAACGAGAGGGGGAACCACTCGACTCCCACCCACAGGTATAGTCTATAGCGGCAGAGTGAAAGAAGCATGGAAGGTGCAGGGCAAGTTGGCCTTTCGTGCAAAACGCCGCCAACTTCGACAACAAGGAATGGGGGGAGACAGGGAAGCACGACCAGCAGAAGATGGCGATGTCCTCCAGACGTTGAGAACTGAGTGCGGAAAAACCGAGTGCACTGCAAGAGTTGCGGGGGGGGATTGCCAGTCCTTCTGTTCGGGGTGGTCTTGTTTTAGGGTTTCTGGGCTTTGACCCCACCGCAACTCCCAACTTGTTCTGCGCAACCTTTCTCTCTAGCATCTAGGGGGAAACTGTATAAAGCCTGCCCCGGCAGATGACATCGCCAAGCCGCCTGCCATTCTGGGTTTGTTGCCGACTTGCAACACCTGGGCCCGACAACTTTTTGAAGCATTTTCCCGAACCGCCAGCCATCCTCGTTGGTAATCAGATGAATTAGATGCGCATATATTCCGCACCGCCTGCCGTCCGAGTTCACAATTAGCCTGCAAACCACTTCAGGGGGAAGTCCAAACACAAATACTTTTCGGCCAGGCCTTCCGTTGCCTCCTAAGGGGGAAGCCTTAAGGCCTTGTTCTTTATTTGGTTGTTGGTACTGTTTGTGATGCCGTTTCTGAAACCCATTCTTGAATCCACGTCCCTCGATCAGTCGGACTTGCAAAGATCGGGAGACTTGATTTGTAAAGATTCGAGAAGGAAGGCAACCGTGGGCCATAATTCTCAAACCTAGGGCCTAGGGGATATAATTTTCTCCTCGAACATGCATGTTTCTGTGAGAGTGTACGAATTGCCCATCCTCGCTATCGCATGTTTTATGGCTTTACTCTTCGGCAATTCTACGCTCGTTCCTCATTCCCTTCGTCCCGTTCAAAACGTTCGGGTGGGGGATCAGGCTTCCTTTCGGGTATGTTCGGGTTAAAAGCAGGGTTAGGCAGGAGAGGTTGTGTGCCATCTCGGGGCACCCGCCCTCTATCTTGGTTTTAATGTTTGCTCCGAACTTGCCCCCACGGTGGCACACAAAACCATGGCCCATCTCACAAACCCAACGAATGTACATCTCCATCTGACAACATGTTGGATGGGGAAGCGCCTTCATCGCGGAGCGCCGGGCCTGCCATCGTTCCAACCCCAGAGCAAGGCAAAGCAAAGAGCGAGCGAGACGGAAGCACACAACGCTTGCCTTCAGTCTACCCGACAGTTGCTCCACAGTACAGTGACCCTCCATCTGTCAACATGATGGATGGGGAAGCGCCTGGAGCGCGGGGTAGCAGGTTTGCTGCTACCTCAAACCCCTTGCAAAACAAAGTGATCGCTACGGTGCGAGTCAGGAGGATTGCTCTTGGCTCAGACCCCAAGCAAAGCGAATCGAGAGCCAAAGCCAGAACCGGAGCGAAGGGGCGACCTTTACGGCCTACGCAGCAGAAAGAAGAGAAAAAGAGAGGGGCACTAAGTGCCTAGGTGACCGGGGTTCGGTTTTTGTTCTCCAGTACTGGAGGTGCCTTCTGATTGAGTGGTTATAATTATTGCGCATTGTCTTTATCTCTTTCTGCCAAATTCACATTTGGCATCGTCTGCTCCAGGGCTTGAGGTAATTGCCGACACTTCAGCCCCTCTGACAGAGTTCCAGGGCAAGGTGCTTCGAACACGGCTGCCCAGCCGCATGTGGCTGCATGTGTGCGCTCGCCGGCCATCTAAGCCAGTAAGAAGAAAGAGATGGACGGAGTCAGTCTCCCATTCCCGGTTGGAGGGAAGGCAAGTCCCATTACCCTGCTGATCTCGGTGGATCGGAATTATCGGAAGAGTTGGCGTTCTCCACTGGAACCAGCAGTCCTGCCGAGGTCCCCTAAAAGCGAGAACAGCGGCCCCCTATACTGTCGTGGGTGGGAGCGTTAAGAGACCTTTGAAAAAAGTGGCGGCAAGCAGAC